TTGGGCGGAGTTGCCCTTGAGCTCAGGATTCGGAAACTAGGCCGTGCGCGCAACACAGTGGACTCTTCTGCATTCTTCGGTTAAAATAATAATAGATAGGCTGGGGGAGCAGTGGCTCAGCACATATAATCTCCAGGCACTCTGGGAGGGGCAGAGGCGGGCTGGAATTGCCTGACGTCGATGGGATTTTTGAACCGCCCTGTGGCCACACATAGAGAAACCCCGTATCTCTAGCCCTAAAAAATACAAAAATGCTGCGTGCGTGCATGCCTGTAATCCAGCTACTCAGGAGGCTAGCAGGATGATCGCTGAACTCTTGTGTGAGCGGAGGTTGCAGTGAGCCCCAGATTGCCGCCATTGTTCCCCAAGCCTGGATGACAAAGAGCTAAACGTCTGCTCTCAAAAAAAAGTTAAAAAAATAAAATAAAATGTAATAGGTAATACACGTAAAATCAAATACAAGATGATTATAAGGCCTGGCGAGGTGGTTTGCATGGGCGCCTATAATCCCAGCATTTTGGGAGGGCCGGAGATGGGTGGATCACCCTGAGCCGTCAAAGAGGTTCAAGGGACCAGCCTGGCCCCAACATAGGAGAACCGGCTCTTTTTTTAAACCTAAAAAGACAAAAATTTAGCTTGGGCATGGTGGCAGGCGCCTGTAATCACAGCTACTTGGGAGGCTGAGGCAGGAAAATTGCTTGAACCTGGGAGGCAGAGGTTGCAGTGAGCTGAGATCCCGCCACTGCACTCCAACCTGGGTGACAGAGTTAGACTCCTACCCCAAAAAATAAAATAAAACTACAGGCGGATGCAGTGGTGCACACTTGTAATCCCAGTTACTCAGGAGTCTGAGGTAGGAGGATGCCTTGAGCCCAGGAGCTCAAGGCTGCAGTGAGCTATGATTGCACCACTGCACTCCCGCCTGTGCAACAGAGTGAGACTCTGAAAATAAATTTCAGAGTGAGTCTCTGAAAATAAATAAATTTAATTTAAAAAATTTAAAAATGTAAGAAAGTAATAGAAAATAATGTGAGCTATGACTGCACCACTGCAGTTCAGCCTGTGCAACAGAGTGAGACTCTGAAATTTATTTTCAGAGTCTCTGAAAATAAATAAATTTAATTAATTTAAAAATGTAAGAAAGTAATAGAAAATAATGTTTTTCAAACTGGGGTCCATGGATATATTCTCCATGTATCCAGGAGAATTTTTTCTTCTAAGAAAGCGTGTACATTAAGTTTCAGAAATACTTCAAAATCAAGACAACAGCTGTACATGACTACATGCCAAGTGAACAGGATAAATACAAAATGCCACGGAAATCCAGAGGAGAAAATCACCCTGGACTGGAAGGGCAACAGAGAGCTTCATGGAGGAGGTGGCTGGGCTCTGAATGATCGACATTCTTTTTTTTTTTTTTTTTTGAGACAGAGTCTCGCTCTCTCGCCCAGGCTGGAGTGCAGTGGCGCGATCTCGGCTCACTGCAAGCTCCGCCTCCCGGGTTCACGCCATTCTCCTGTCTCAGCCTCTGGAGTAGCTGGGACTACAGGCACCCGCCACAATACCCGGCTAATTTTTTGTATTTTTTAGTAGAGACGGGGTTTCACCGTGTTAGCCAGGATGGTCTTGATCTCCTGACCTCGTGATCCGCCCGTCTTGGCCCCCCAAAGTGCTGGGATTACAGGCGTGAGCCACCGCGCCCGGCGGACATTCTTTATAGGAGCAGTGAGGACAGGAGAGAATTTCAGGCAGAGCGAATGGAGTGATGAAAAAGGTGAAGGCACAGGCACAGAGCTGAGAGGCGGGTGGAAGCACAACTCAACAGAGGCTTGAAGGGGACACACCAGAGACAAGGCTGGAAAGGTAATGTGGGAGGCTACGCTGCAGACAGCCTTGGAGTCTATGACAAATAATGTAGACAATCTTCAGCAAGTAATGAGAGCCCTAGAAGATTCTGTTTTTTTTTCTTTTTTTTTTGAGATGGAGTATTGCTTTGTCACCCAGTCTGGAGTGCAGTGGCATGATCTTGGCTCACTGCAACTCATCCACCTCCCGGGTTCAAGTGATTTGCCTGGCTCAGCCCCCTGAGTGGCTGGGATTACAGGCACACGCCACCACACCAGGCTAATTTTTGTATTTTTAGTAGAGATGGGGTTACACCATGTTGGCTAGGCTGGTCTCTATCTCCTGACCCAGAAGATCTGCCCACCTCGGCCTCCCAAAGTGCTGGGATTACAGGCGTGAGTTGCTGCACCCGGCTGCCTTGCAGGTTCTTGAGAAGAGCACGATGAAAATAATTTTGAAAGATTAGCCAATCTGGTTATAGACTGTAATATAAATTAGAGAGGGAAGAGGACAAGAAACTACAGAAAGGAAACTACAGACAACAAAACAAAACAAGACAAAACAAAACAAAACAAAACTACAGAAGAGTAACTTAGCCATGAAATTGTAAAGTTCAGGGAGGTGAACCATATATCTCAGTCAAGGACAGATGAAAGGCAAATGTGCCCCTAGGGACCTCCTCCAGCTTGGAGTAGGGACAGATTCTCCCAGACACTCACTGTTCACTGGAGCTGAGGGCTGGCTTGTTCTCCACCTTGTATAGCTTGTCTACTTCGTGTTGCTACAGAGAGAATCCAATAAGACAATGGACATAAGAGTGCCTGAAAAGCACAAAGGGTGATACGAAGATAGGGAACTTCTTGAGGGCTTCCTAATTATGCTAATTCTAGGAATCAAACTGCTCCCCTGACAACCAACCCACTGAACTTTCCTCAAGCTATCAATAGGAAAACCAAAAATAAAATAAAAACAGTATGGGCCAGGTGCGGTGGCTCATGCTTGTAATCCCAGCATGTTGGGAGGCCAAGGCAGGAGGATCACTTGAACCCAGGAGTTTGAGATCAGCCTGGGTAACATAACAAGACTCCATCTCTACAAAATTAAAAAAAAAAATCATATATTCCGTAGCAAATAGACTCAGAAAAATAAATAACAAATTTAAATTTAAAAATTAACCAGGTGTAGTGGCACATGCCTGTGGTCCCAGCTACTTGGGAAGCTGAGGCAGGAGGATCGCCTGAGTCCAGGAGGTCAAGACTGCAGTGAACTGTGATTGTGCCATTGTACTATATTCCAGCCTGGGTGACGGGGAGAGACTTCGTCTCCCTCCTCAAAAAAATACAAAACAAAAAAATATGAACAACAGCATCGATCTCCCTTTTCCACCCAATTAAGCTACCCTATGTTTGCCTTACAAAGGTAGTCACTCTTCAGTAATTTGTATTGTTCATCAAAAGAAAAACTGCTCAAAGAGGAAAGAGGGGCATGACCCCCAGGGGAAAGGGATAGTACCTTCAGAATGGAGACATTGGCAATTCGATCCAAAGGGCTCATGAGATCTGCCTCAATGAATAAATCCTTTTTTCCAGGAAGCTGAAGGAGACACAATATGTTGGGTCACTCACAGGTCACACGAGCTTCCTCACCTGAGAACTAGCCTAGCCACCTATCTAACAGAAGCATAGTCTCTGAGGTGGGAGGGCACTAAGCATCGTCTAGCCCGGCACCTTATTTATTATCTGTATCCACAGTTGACACTTCTCTGTATATTTACCTGTTTTGCCTTCTTGTTTTCTGTACCAGCGGGAAGAAGACATCCCACCTTCTTTCTCAGGTTAACTCCTTGTCACTCAACCCTTCTGCTCACCTGTGACCTTGGTCTGCACCTCACTCCCCTTCTCTGCTGTCTCCTCCACTCTGGCTCCCAACCACCCCTGGTCTCCTGCTGAACAAAGCCAAACACAACAGAACCCCACCTTGCATTTTTCTCCTAAGTACAAAATAAAATAGCACACGCTCACTGCAGAAAACGTAGCAAACCCAGGACAATCCTCACCCCATCACCCTTCCACTCCCCCACCCCACAATCCCTGTCATACGATTTCCACACCACCACTCCTGACACAGATCTCAATGTCTGTTCAGAGGAAGGAGAGGTCACAGTTAGTGACAGGGAGCGGAAAGTCATTGGGAGAGTCCTCTCAACCAGGCCTTCATGAATGGGTAGGGTGTTGACACGGATGTTTGAAGAGGGCAGTCCAGCAAAAATCAGAAAGAGAACATAGACTGTGTGGTAAGGGGACGATTTTGCCCTTTGAGGGACATTTGGCAATATCCAGACACATTTTTGGTTATCTGACTCAGGGTAGGGGTTTTACTGGCATCTCGTGGGTAGAGGCCAGGGATGCTGCGAGACATCCAACAATGCACAGGCCAGCCCCCACCACAAAGAATGATCCAGTCCAAAAGGTCAACGGTATAGAGGGCAGGAAATTTTTTATTTATTTATTTTTAATCTTATTTGTTGTTTTGTTTTGTTTGTTTTTTGAGACGAAGTCTCCCTCTGACACCCAGGTTGGAGTGCAGTGGCGTGATCTCGGCTCACTGCAACCTCCGGCTCCCAGATTCCACTAATTATCTGCCTCAGCCTCCCAAGTAGCTGAGATTACAGGTGCCCGCCACCACACCTGGCTAATTTTTGTATTTTTAGTAGAGACAGCAGTTCACCATCTTGGCCAGGCTGGTCTTGAACTCCTGACCTCGTGATCCACCTGCCTCAGCCTCCCAAAGTGCTGGGATTACAGGCGTGAGCTACTGCTACCAGTCTGTTTTTTGTTTTTTGGTTTTTGTTTTTTTAAAGACAGTCTTGCTCTGTTGCCCAGGCTGGAGTGCAGTGGCAGGACCTCAGCTCACTGCAACCTCTGCCTCCCAGGGTCAAGCAATTCTCCTGCCTCAGCCTCCCAAGTAGCAGGGATTACAGGTGCATGCCACCACACCTGGCTAATTTTTGTATTTTTAGTAGACATGGAATTTCGCCATGTTGGCCAGGATGTTCTCAAACCCTTGACTCCTCAGGTGATCCACCTGCCTCAGCCTCCCCAAGTGTTGGGATTACAGGTGTGAGCCACCACGTTTGGGCTTTTTAAATGTTTCTTTATTTTTTAGTTTCCCAAACCCAAAATGGTCAACAGAGGGTAGGAAATCTTGAGGTAGGTGAATGGTGAAAAATAGACCGAAATAGTTGGCTAGGATTGAGCAGGAAGGGCTCCAAATGCCAGCTTTGGGGAGTGTGGCCTTGATCCTCTAATTAACAGGGAAAAATAAAGCTTTTGTGCACTGAAGCATTCCAATCAGCTGGAAATGTTAGTGAATCTGAAGACTGGAGAAACTGGAGGCAGGGAGTCCACTTAGGGAGTTAATGAAACCATCCAGGAAGCCCAAGCATGTGGCAATGAAAGAGGGCCTGATTTAGGCTGGTGGTGGTATGAGCAAAAATAGATTAAGAGATACATGGAATGTGTAATATAATGTTGGTTTTTTTTGTTTTTGTTTTTGTTTTTTTTGAGATGGAGTTTCACTCTTGTTGCCCAGGCTGGAGTGCAATGGCGTGATCTCGGCTCACCCCAACCTCCACCTCCTGGGTTCAAGCAATTCTCCTGCCTCAGCCTCCCAAGTAGCCGGGATTACAAGCATGCGCCACCATGCCCAGCTAATTTTGTATTTTTAGTAGAGACAGGGTTTCTCCATGTTGGTCAGGCTGGTCTCGAACTCCCGACCTCAGGTGATCTGCCCGCCTCGGCCTCCCAAAGTACTGGGATTACAGGCGTGAGCCACCGCGCCCAGCCTAATATAATTTTTTAAAATACTTCAAAGAAATTAACAGTGTTAACAGTGCTTATAACTTATGGTAGGGCCATAAGTAATTTTTTTTTCTTTTTACTTTCCTTGATCTTCTTACATTTTCTATAATATGCAAGTGTTATTTTATAATCACCATAAAAAAGTTATGTGTAAAGAAGTATACATGGAACTCAGCAACTGGTTCAGTTAAGTATCAGGGTGAGGGACAGGCAAAGATGATTTTGATATTTCAAGCCTGAATAGCAATGCACATTAACAAAAATTAAGTCAGAAGTTAGTTAGGAGGGGACGTTATTGCCTGGAAATCCACTTTGGCCATGCTGAATAACCCAGTGGGTTCAAGTTTCTCTCCTTGGTCTCCTCTACTTGATCTCACCTGAACTAGCGGCTTTAACTAGCACCTCTTTTCAATTCTTCAGACATTTGTTGCAAGTCTTTTATGTGCATGTCACTGTGCAAGCACTAAGTATAAAAGAGAAATAGGCTGGGTGTGGTGGCTCATGCCTATAATCCCAGCACTTTGGGAGGCCGAGACGGGGAGATCACCTGAAGTCAGGAGTTCGAGACCAGTCTGGCCACATGGTGAAACTCTATCTCTACTAAAAATACAAAAATTAGCCAGGTGGGCTAGTGCGCACCTGTAATCCCAGCTACTCGGGAGGCTGAAGCAGAACCTGGGAGGTGGAGGTTGCAGTGAGCCAAGATTGCGCCACTGCACTCCAGCCTGGGCAACAGAGTGAGACTCTGTCTCAAAAAAAATAAATAAGTAAAATTAAATAGAAATAAAATCTGGTCCAAGATGCCCTGCTGTTCTCGTCTTGATCCATCTTCCTTCCAGTCCTCACAATGGAGCTGTAGTTCCACATTTCTATCTGCTGGATGTTACAAGCTGTATTTCTCACTGGCATCTTAACTTCCCCCATCCAAACCCAAACAAATCAACTTCCCCCACCAAACCTGTTCCTTTTTCTAATTATTTTTCTCATTTCTATTCAATGTTCATACAACAAATATTTATTAAGCATATGGTGCATGCTTGCCTCTAAGCTAGGTACTCACTGGGTAGTGTTGACCAAAACAAACGTGATCCCTGCCCACCTTCCAGTCTAATGAGGAATACAGACATAAAATGAATAACTAAATGATTACACAAGTAATCCATTAAAATCACAGTAGCAGTATTATTTTCCTAATAACCAGGTTAAAAATCTCACTCATTTTTGCTTCTCCTCAACCTTTATGACCAATCAGTAAGTCTTTGAGTTTTCTTTCACCATAACTTAAAAATTCATCATTTCCCTTCATTCCCATTGCTACCAGTTTTGTGTGGGCCTTTATTACTTGTCTAATCTACGGTCTCCTAACCGGCCTTCTTGTTGCCCATTTACCCCACCACACACATCACTATTAGAATCATCATCAAGTATTGTCTCATGCCACAAATGGAAAAAAAAAAAATCGTCAGTGGCTACTGTGTAACTGCTGATGGCTGTCTTCCCTGTACATGCCTTGTCTTTCCCTGGTTTGTCAACTTTGCTCCTACCAATCTATCTGCCTGGAGCATGCTTAGTCGCCAAAGAAAATAAGCTTATTATTCACACTCACCTCCTTGAAGCTCCTAGATCATCACCCCAGCTAGAAATGATCACTTATTCTGAACTCTTCGGGTACACTACTCTATCACTCATTTACCACCTGTGTGTGATAATTTGTGCTTCACACAGCTCCTGCTGGAGTGGTAGGATCCCTAATGGCAAATATGTCTTTCCGTCCCTAGGGATGCCTGGCACTAATGGTGTCTCCCTTGCCTGTATGGGGGTTGGGGGCTGATTTCCATTAACTCTCTGGCCAGGTTCCAAACAGCTCTTACTACTCCCTGGATTCATTCTGGACCTGCTGGGGAAGCTCCAAGGAAATACCAGGGGCCAAGAACAAGATAAAAGGGGCACGGCAAGGAAGAAATGTGCATCCAATGAGTGCTAAACTGTAGATGCGATAAAGTCGCCAGGCGAGCACTGACCTGCTCCAGCAGATAGATGAGCTGGTCTCGAGCCAGCCTCTTGAGCATGGAGAAATCAGGCAGCTCAGGGGCGTCTGGCCGATGGGGAAAAGCCATGGCAGCGGTGACCTGCGCCGCGGAGTGGAAGGACGCCCTTCGCTCCGAGAAGGCCGGCCGCAGCCCAGGGGAAGCGCAAGGGGGCTATCCTTCAGGCCTGGGCACCGACTTCCAAAGACCCCAGAGGTGCCCTCGCTCCTCAGCAGCACTCCAGGAATGAATGGCCACCTCCAGGCAAAGAGAGCTACTACCGCGGAGCAGCCTTGTCTCAGACCTGCAGCCACCGTGTCCTGACCCTCCCTCCCTGATCCACTCAACCCGTCAGCAGGATTCCGGTCTACACCCCGCAGAGACTCCGCAGCGTACTGGGAGAACCCAGCCTCCTGCCAGAAAGAGAAGCGACTTCCTAGATCTCCCGGAAGTCCCTTTCGTTCCCAGCGCTTCGCGTACCAGGAAGGGGACGGTGTCTTGAAAGGGACATTTAAAAATCGGAGGCAATGAGTCTATTAATTAGGTGGCTGTGCCTGGGATCCCAGCACTCAAGAGGCTGAGGTGGGAGAATCGCTCGAGTCAGGGAGGCGGAGATTGCAGTGAACTGCGATCGCGCTACTGCACCCCAACCTGGGCAACAAAGCTAGACCTTGCCTCAAAAAAAAAAAAAAAAAAAAAAAAAGAAAAGAAAAGAAAAGAAAAAAGACATAATGGATGCAACAGGCTAACAATACCTGAACTCTGATCAGTCATACCATCATGTCATTTCCTGGTGAGATGCATAGGAAATACAGAGCATCACCTACCTAATCAAGCCTCAAGATCTGACTACGAGTTTATAGGCTATATAGAGATTAGCAGGAATATGTTAAGACATCGTAGGTATGAAATCAACCATACCCAAAATGTAGGAAATTATATGGGACAAATGATCTGTATTATTAAAAAAAAAATGGCAAAGGGAGAAATGTGGGAGGGGGAAACACTTCAGAATAAAAGAGATTTAAGGGATACATCAACTAAATGTTTCAATGTGTGGATCTTCTTCCGATAATAATTGAAAGATAACTGATTTAAGGAATTACTAAAACTTTTCAGGTATTATATTTCTTTTCTTTTCATTTTTTTCCAGACAGAGTTTCGCCCTTTTGCCTAGTGGAGGATTCTGGCTCATTGCAAGCTCCACGCCACACCCCCACCCTCAACCCCGGCCCTAGGTTCAAGCGATTCTCCTGCCTCAGTCTCCCGAGTAGGCTGGAATTACAGGCGCATGCCACCATGCCTGGCTAATTTTTGTAATTTTGGTAGAGACTAGGTTTCACTATGTTGGCCAGACTGATCTCAAACTCCTGACCTCAAGTGATCCACCTGTCTCGGCCTCCCAAAGTGCTGGGGTTACAGGCGTGAGCCACAGCGTCCGGTCAGGTATTGCATTTCTATGTTATCATTTTTTTTTTTTTTTTTGTATTTCTATGTTATACAGGCTTGTATTTCTGTTAAAAAGAAGTCCTTATCTCTTAGAGATACATACTGAAGTTTTTACAGATGAAATAATTTGGCCAGGAGTTCGTGTCTGTAATTCCCACCAAGTTGGGAAGTCCAGGTGGCGGGGCAGGGCGGAGGGCGGGAGTTGCTTGAGCTGGGAGTTTGAGATGAGATTGGTCAACTACAACACGTAAAAAATACCCAGGCGTGGTGGTAGGCACCTTTAATCTCGATACTTGGGAGGCTGAGGCAGGAGGATCACTTGAGCCCAGGAGTTTGAGGCTGCAGTGAGCTATGATTATGCTACAGCACCCCAGCCTGGGCAACAAAGTGAGACACCATTTCTTTTTTTGTTTCTCTTTGAGATGGAGTTTCGCTCTTGTTGCCCAGGCTGGAGTGCAATGGCACAATCTCAGCTCACTGAAACCTCCACCTCCAGGTTCAAGTGATTCTCCTGCTGCAGCCTCCTGAGTAGCTGGGATTACAGGCATGCGCCATGCGCCTGGCTAATTTTGTATTTTTAGTAGAGACGGGGTTTCTCCATGTTGGTCAGGCTGGTCTCGAATTCCTGACCTCAGGTGATCTGCCTGCCTTGGCCTACCAAAGTGCTGGGATTATAGGCACCAGCCACCATGCCTGGCCCGATCTGTCTCTTAAAAAATGAAAAAATGCTAAAATATGTTTGGGATTTGCTTTGAAATAACCCAGGGGGAGATGTAGGAACACTCAGGAAAAAGACTGGGCCAGGCACGGTGGCTCACGCCTGTAATCCCAGCACTTTGGGAGACCGAGGCAGGTGGATTGCTTGAGCCCAGGAGTTCAAGACCAGCCTAGGCAACATAGCAAGACCCCCATGTCTATAAAAAAATTTAAAAATGATTGGCCATTTGTTAATTGTTAAAGCTGATGGGTACATGGGGGTTTATTGCATTTTAGTATTCTACTTCTTTATTTAGAGATGGAGTGTTGCTCTGTTGCTCAGGTTGGATTGCAGTGGCATAGTCATAGCTTACAGCAGCCTGGAGCTCCTGGGCTCAAGTGATCCTCCCGCCTCAGCCCCCCAGATAGCTGGAATACAGTCATATGCCACCTTGCTGAGCTTCTCCCTACTTTTCTATGTTTGAAAAGCTATATAATACAAGGTTAAGCAAAAAACAAAAAATATGCTGTGCTCACACTGGACTTTGAGAGCTCAGTATTTTATGCTGAGCCTTTCTTCTCACTAACCCCCTTAGATTGAATCTTGGCTGCAGTAGGAGATGGAGGTTGCCCTAAAGTGGTGGGATTTACTCCCACTGCCGTTTAAAGAAGATGAGTGAAGCATTACCTTACACTCCTTTTTTTCCGCCTGGAGTCTCACTCTGTTGCCCAGGCTGAAGGGCAATGGTGCGATCTTGGCTAACTACAACCTCTGCCTCCTAGGTTCATGCGATTCTCTTGCCCCAGCCTCTGGAGCAGCTAGGGTTACAGGCATGTGCCACCACTCCTGGCTAATTTTTGTATTTTTGGTAGAGATGAGGTTTCTCCATATTGGCCAAGCTGGTCTCAAATCCTGACCTCAGATGATCCGCCTGCCTCAGCCTCCCAAAGTGCTGGGCTTACAGGTGTGAGCCACCGCACCCAGCCTTTTTTAAATTTTTATCCCATGACTTTTTTTAATCCTATAACTTTTTTTCATAAGTTTTTTCCATAATTTTTTTTTTTTTTTTGAGATGGAGTCTTGCTCTGTCATCCAGGCTGAAGTGCAATGGTATGATCTCGGCTCACTACAACCTCCACCTCCCAGGTTCAAGTGGTTCTCCTGTCTCAGCCTCCTGAGTAGCTGGGATTACAGGCATGCGCCACCACGCCAGCTAATTTTTTGTATTTTTAGTAGAGACAGGGTTTCGCCATTTGGCCAGGGTGGTCTCCAACTCCTGACCTCAGGTGATCTGCTCACCTTGGCCTCCCAAAATACTGGGCTTACAGGAGTGAGCCACCACACTGGGCCTAGTTCCCTGCTTTTGGATGACAGTGATCTTCATCTGATCTGCACCTGTCTCCCCCATTAGACACTTCTCCAGTCTTTGCTGACAGTGGCCTGCTTTTATTTATTTAATTTTTATCACATGATTTTTTTTTTAAAATCCCATAGCTTTTCATAAAACTTCTTTTGGAATAACTTTTTTCATAACTTTTTCCACAATTTTTTTCCTACAATTTTTTTCCACACCTTTTTTCACAACATTTTTTAATCCCATCGGGTAACTTTTTTTTTATCCCATAACTTTTTAATCTCATAACTTTTTTTTTTTTTTTGAGTGGAGTGTCACTCTGTTGCCCAGACTGGAGTGCCATGGCACGATCTCGGCTCACTGCAACTTCCGCCTTCCAGGTTCAGGTGATTCTCCTGCCTCAGTCTCCCAAGTAGCTGGCACTACAGGGGTGTGCCATCGCTCCTGGCTAATTTTTTGTATTTTTAGCAGAGACGGGGTTTCACCGTGTTAGCCAGGATGGTGTTGATCTCCTGACCTCGTGATCTGCCCGCCTCGGCCTCCCAAAGTGCTGGGATTACAGGCGTGAGCCACCATGCTGAACATCTCTTAACTTGTTTAATCCCATTATTTTTTAAATCCCATAACTTTTTCCGTTTGTGTTCTTTTAATAAACACTTGCATAGTTATATTACAATTTTGTAAAACTAAAAACATTATCTCATGCCAATTGTGCCCAGTATTTGCACAATCTCAATACCTTTAATACTATGGTTTTCAAGACACACAAAATAAAATTTTAAGTCAAAAACAGCACTTTGCAATGATAACTTATTACATTACAGTAGCATCACAGCAGTATTCAATAATGCCACTTTAGGCAAAAGTCTTTCAGTATTTCCATATAGATTCTGTTTACAAGAATTTGTAAATTGGTAGAAGTTATTCTAAGAAAACTTGGCAAATAAAGCTTTGGACTGGAATTGGCATTTCTTTCTCTACTTTTCCTTCTCCAGTTTCTTTCTTTTAAGCTACAGTATTCATATTTTAAAATGTTTTAATTTGGCCAGGTGCAGTGGCTCATGCCTGTAATCCCAGCACTTTGGGAGGCCAAGACGGGTGGATCACGAGGTCAGGAGATCGAGACCATCCTGGCTAACACGGTGAAACCTTGTCTCTACTAAAAATACAAAAATTAGCCGGAATCTAGCCGGGCGCGATGGCGGCGCCCTTGTAGTCGCCAGCTACCGGGAGGCTGAGGCAGGAGAAATGGCATTGGACACCCTGGAGGTGGAGCTTGCAGTGGAGTGTAGATTGTGCACCGCGGCTCCAGGTCTGGGCGAACAAAAGTGAGACTTCTGTCTCAAAAAAAAAAAAAAAAAAAGAACTGTTTAATTTATTTCAGAAACATTTAAAATAACCGTACATTTTCTTAATAAGCTTATACTATTGCTGTAAAATGACTCCTTACGGTTAAAGTTCGTAGAGAAAACTACGTATGCTGGATCAAGGAAAAGCTGATGTTACCATTTTTTGAAATTTTGCTGAACAAGATTCAGTTTGGTTTTAAACAAATTGGGGATATTTTTTTTCATTTCCTGGAAAACCTATCAGGGTTTAATCAAATACTTTAAAATGACTTATCCACCTACTGCAATCTTTTTTTTTTTTTTTTTTTTTGTTTTTTTTTTTTTTTTTTTTTTGAGACGGCAAGGTCTTGCTCTGGCCCCCAGGCTGAGTGCAGTCGGGCGCGATCTTCGGCTCACTGCAAGCTCCGTCGCCTCCTGGGTAGGTTTACGGCCATTTTCTCCTGCCTCAGCCCGAGTTAGCTGGATACAGCGGCACGCCCACCTTCACCCGGCAGTCTTTTTGAGCTATATTTTTAGTAGATGACAGGGGTTTCACCGCATTACAAACTCAGGGGATGGGTCTACATCTCCTGGACCTTTTGTGACATCGCGCCCGGCTCCCTCCCCAAAGTGGGCTGGGATATTACAGGGCTTGAGCCACCCCGCGGGCCAGAACTTTCCTTCGTTGTTTCTCTGACAACGACGATACTGACAATCTTTAAATAAACAGGTAGTTTGGGTGACTTGCGCTTTGATCTGTCTCCTCTTCTCTCTCTACCATAAGTTTCATATGGTTCATTTCAATTGAACCTCCACTTTTAAAATTCTATTATTTCTACTGAGAACTCTGACCTTCTCTTTACTG